GGTGAAATTTGTAGATAAAAATCTGAAATTTTGGCTCATTGTAGCTGTTATTCTTCAAAAACTACTGCACTGAGTTCCATTTTTTTTTCGAAATACTCGTCTCGAAGGCCTCTATCTGTATCAAATATATATATATATATATATATATATATATATATATATATATATATATCCTTTATTACAAAGTTTGGAGATATTGCTCTTGTTCATGAACAATCTTTTACTCACGATAACTTGAGATCAAATGGAGATAGCAAGTTGAAATTTGGTATGATCCTAGCTCTAATAATGCCAAAGGCTAATATTTTGGATGAGCGCAATCGGCCAAGCGGTTCCTGAGATATGCAACCTTTTGTGTAAATATATTCCGTTGAATATCTGATAAACTACTCAACGGATTCGATGTTTTCGTTTTTGAAAATACTCGTCTCGACGGCTTCTATCTGGATGAATCAAAATATCCATCCCCATCCATCCAAAATTTTCGAAATATTGCCGTTCTTTCGTTTCTTATTTTTTTTCATTCTCCTACGCACGATAACTTGAGAAAAAATTAAGATAGCAACTTGAAATTTAATAAGATCCTAGCTCTTATAATACCAAAGGCTGATATTTGGATGAGCGCAATCGGCCGTGCAATTTCAGAGATCTTTAACCTTTGTACAAATCTATTTTATAAAAAGGTTGAATATCTTCCTGTTTACTCTCTGAAAGGGAAAATAATTCTGATAGAAAACAGTTCGGGGGACACTCTGAAGAGCGTATTTCATACATTTTCCCATGAATAACGTATAAAATGCATGACCCAATTGCTTTTCAGCATCATAAACCGTGGAAAGCTGTTGCACTCAGCGATGAATTCACTTCACAATTTCGATCGCTCATTGGACAAGTTTTTAGCCTGGCTGAGTGAAGCTGAATCCTCGATGGAGGGACTAGAGGCTGAGGCTGATAGGCTGGGAAGCCGGAGGGATCAAGGGGCACTCAGAAGACCGCAGCATCAACTAAAGGTGAGTGCTTACAACTGATTATTTTTGGGATGTCATTTACACCGATAATGCACGTAAATTAATGCAATTTGAATCAGTGAAACACAAGCGCCAAATGCATACATTTGAGGACAAAATGGGATTCCGTTCATGAATTGGTTTATGTAATTTGGTCTTTGATAATTTCGCCAATGATACATATAAATTCCAGAGCATTTGTCGACATTCGAGCGGGATTTAGCTTCTGGAGTGAAATCGGATCCTATAATTAATGCAGCTCTATTCAGTGTAAAACGAGCGATGAAGTCTATTCTCTTTTTTAAATGCCCGACTTTCATAAAGCGATTTTCTCGGCATACGTTGCGCCCCATATACCACCCACTAATTATTGAATTTAATAACATCCCCAGACTCATAAAAACGTACTAGCCCCTTCTGATTGTTTTAATTGTTACGTAGAAAATGATTTTCCCCACTTTATTAACGGTGCAAGTGAGGTGAAGAATAGCTATCCAACAATTGGAATTGCACACGAGGCAATCTAGACCAGCTAGCCACTTTCTCTTTCTCGCTCCATAGCACCAAACACTGGTGGAAAACGATCGATAGAGCACTCGCCTCGAGCGTTTCACATAGCTTGCGAGCTTATTCCAATGGGATCACCTAGATAATAGTCATTTATTTCTCTACCTCATTTTTTAAAAATAATATCACTGGGGAATCGAGATGTAGAACCTCTGTGGTCAGTTATTCATTGGATTGTAATACCGTTGAGAGTTGAAATCTATTATTTGATAAACTATTTTGAATTGAGTCGGAAACTTGTGATCAATTTTTCCATCAAATTCTGGAATTTTGTCCTTTGAGATTTAAATATTCATAAATGATGAGCACTTAACTCAGCGCCTTGAAAAGCCCTGACTTCTCAATGACCAGAGAAGAATGATTTCCCTCGGATATCTAAAACTGATGAATATCTTATGACATTCTCAATTCCACGAGAGGATCAACTTTTCCACTCACAATTTTTTTCATTACTCTCTGCATCTCGAATGGAGATAGAAAATTATTCCAAATGAAAGTTTTTATAATCTCCCGGGAAGGCGGAATGCGAAGAATTTTCATTACGTCGAGTGATCAATGTCTCCTTAGCCACTGCTACCCCTCGCACTGAATAAGGACGCAAAATGAGAAAATATTTTCTACCCTACGCTCACTTTTTCGATCGAAACAGTTCGCGCATGCGCACTGGATCGTTCCAGGCGGCGCTGCAGTCCGGGGTGCAGCAGTCGGTACGGCAGGAGGGATGAAAATTCTGGTGATAAGAGCACGAGGGAGTCTACTGTACCCGCTGATAAGATTACCGGGACAATTCGCAACGTTTGATAACACGATTGCCCTTCGGTAAACCTCCTGAGACTGTACCCAACGCGCAAAATCAAATTTTCATTAACCAGCTACTACTTTAGCAGACGAGTAACTTTATAAAACTGCTTTACTACCCGTCGTAAAGCTCCGCTTTCTTTGCCCCAACTGAATTAGTTAATCAACAGCGTAGTTTAATTTTAGGATCTACTTAATTTAATCTCCTCCTCAAGTGCAAATGATTATCCAGCTTTCTTCTCCCAGCGATAAAACTTTGTTGATGCAGTGGATTTAACACAAATACAAGGCTGGGTAACAAGCGTGATAGTGAGACTCCTCCTCTCTCGGTGGCTTAACAAGTCCAATAGTTTGGGGGTAGTTTAGCGACGGATGAAAAGTCAAGTCCAAAGCCCAGATTGCACTGATAACGTTACGAGCAGATGTCGCCGTCTAGTGGTTGCCCTGACAAACTTTACAATAAACTCTCATCCCCCTGACTCTTTACTAAACTCCAAAAACCGTATGTCAGAGTTACGTGCACCAGAGAATTCCTTTTAGTATCCAGTATCAGTTTGTATGTCTCCAACAGAAGGCTCTTTTATATGCTACAGGAAAAATTCAGAGGCCAATGGGAGGTGATCACGTAAAGAGTCGTTGTTGAATAATGTGTTTAATTTGGAGTAAAAACTGCAAAAAAATTGCAGAAAACTCGATCAGATTCGGAATTCTAATTTTTTTTTTCTTAATTTAATTATCGTTTTGGTTTTTCAAAGAAGAAATGTTTAAAAATCAGGATTTAACCCAGTTTCTTGTGTGAAATTAACATTTCCACTGTAATCAAAGATTAAAATCTGTTTTTTTTCATTAGATGTGAAAAAATCAAGAATTTTTTTGGCACCTCACAAAAAATAATCCACCATTTTGCAAACAAGTTTTATTACTTATCTATAAGAGGGAAATGTTTGAAAAAATACAAATATTTTGCGAAATTTAATTTAGATAATACTGACTGGGTATGATTTTTTTCAAATTTTTTCCATGCAATTTAGTTGAATAATACTACTTTAAATGCACATTAAATAATGCTACTTTAAATCACATTCAGTGTCACTGTCCTGAAAATCAGTTGTCAGTAGCCCATGAAATTTCATCTTTTTTCTAGCAGTGTCGAGTGCAGAATAAATTTGACAGTTTATCCGGCACAAATTACCCTCACGTTTAGTAAATTTTCCCGAGCCAACAGAGGAAAATTCACTATTCGTCTCGCACTTTTCCCCGATGTAGAGTGAAAAAGTACTGAAAATCGAGTTCGCTCCACGATTACCCGACTTGTTCGGTAATTTTTCCCTTTTCAACTTTTTTCTCCCTGAGTATCGGAGTTTCGCTCACTAGAGAATTCCTTTTAGTATCCAGTATCAGTCCATATGTCCCGGCCAGAGGGCTGTTTAATATGCTGCGGAAAATTTGAGGGGTGGGAGAAGGTTGGGGATTTCAGTTGGGGGTTTCAGAAAAGAGGCTCTCTCCACGAGTGTACTCACGAAGGCATGAGTGGAAATTCCATTTGCAAATAATCTCAAATTAATTCAATCCATTTGGTCCATAAATATTTCATAAGCTCTCACCCACACATAAATAACTTTATGTGTTTAAATAACTCCAGCTTGAAAATGGAATGACTTACTCTGTCATAAAGTTAATGGAATTTCAAAGGTTTAAAACTATTTTCATGTTTTGAAATTTTTACATTGAGATTGTGGACGAGGTTCTTACGCTGAAGACTGATCGTTGCTATGATTTTTCACGGGAACTCGCCCGAGTTTCAATGTTATAAGGCTGCGAGTGGAGGCATTAGGAATTCTGGAGGGATGCTGTGCTGTTGGCAGTTGACATCGTAAAAAATAACAGAGTCTATGAAAAATCTTCGTCTCTACTTTTCCCAGTATTATAACTTAGTTTTTATGCGTTTATCCCGAGGGAATTTACGTTCCACGACATTTTTTAACGATTTCCCTGGATATAGGGGTTGTGGTGCGTACGTATGGGAAGTGAAATTTTATTGAAATTGCACGGAGAAGAACATCCTGGAGAAATTACGTGATAACTTATGCAATTGTGTGGCGGTATGCTTACTTCGGGTATTTTTATGCATGGAGAGACATTCTGTAGAAAAATTCTAGTGCTCGTATTGGAAAAAATCCCGATCCACCGGCTGTGAACAATTGTAGTATTGGTAAGACGAAATTTCGATGGGATTTCTGTAAAAATTTCAGGGGATTTTGGTGATTATTTTTCCCAATCGGATTTCGACCAATCAGAGCACAGTATGTCAGGTCCTCACGCAAGCGCTGGGGATTTTTAAACTTGTATTATTACTGAAAATTTCAATAAAATTTTCACTGTACTAGAATTTTTCCAGAGAACTTCTCTCCGCGTGGAAAATCGAGAAAAAGTGTAAAGTAGAAAATTAATATTATTTTTTAATGCTGGACATTCTATTGAATTCTATGATTCTATAAAAAAATAGATGGGGCGTGATAAAAATTACGTTCCAACTCACAATTTTTTCATGAAAACTTTTGAAATAATCATGAAAACATCATGAATATTCAGTGGAATTACACTGAATAATTCAATTTTCAATTAATCATAAATTCAAGAATACATTCACCGAAATTTTGCTGATTTCTATTAATTTTCATAGAATAATTGATCTGATATTAACAGATCGCATTGATTTCTCCATGAAATTCTCAATATTCATTGACTAAATGCCTTGAAAATTCAGCGAAAATAAAATGTGATAAAAATTTGAAACAACGTGTATCAAAAGAATTCCTCGAATAACTTCCAAAAACAATTCTTCCAATTTTTATGAAATTTGTCTCCCTGTGTGACTGCAACTTCGTCGGATGGAATTGAATTGAGGTGAAGTTTTAGCTGTTGTATTCGGTGGATTAATGACTCTCCATTACCCTTGTTTGGCAATTTAAGAAATTAGCTAATTGGGTCGCGGTACATAATGTGGTTAGTATAATGCATATTACTCGGGTAAAGCCCGATTAAATTGATTAGCATCGACGAAGAGAGAATTTCGCGTGATTATTTTTCTTTCACCCATTCGTTGCAATGCGGTATACCCGCGTGTAAATTAACATGCAAATACGTTGAGGAATTGTGGAAAGAGACTGCATTGAGAACGACGGCGGAAGGGGGGAGGTGGGAAGGATGGAAGTTGGTAGTGTGTGTAACCACCGGCGAATATTCATTGAAAATTTCCAACTAAACTCACTTGCGCATGCCGCTCATTGGAACGTTCCTGCAGAATTGTCTAACGAACCTTCGGGAGTCTTACAATTAGTTATCGACAAATATTGATGATGAATCCTTTCGAGTCAGTGAGTTGTAATCCTCGGCGGAAGAAACAGCAATTACGTGGTAAAACCTGTCAATAACAAAATCCCCAACTGTGACATCTATGCGACACAACGGAATTGTTTACAATCAAGACACGGACTTATCAAGGAAATCCCATGAAATTGCACCAGACAGAGGGTCAAATCAGGCTTACAAGTAAATTCAATTGAAATAAGAAATGGAGTTGAGATGAAGAAGCACTTTTTTAGCGTTGAATTTCCTCGGGGCACTGGCTCGAAGTG